ATTTCAAGATTAGGTCGTAATACTAAATCTAATCAAAAGCTTTATGATGTAATGTAAGAATTAGCATATATAATTATAAATATCGTTTCTACGTTCCTGATTTTAGTGCACATCTACCTGAAATTATCTTACATGTAAAAATATACACCGATCATTGTCGAAATCAATAACTTAATAATCCGATATATATTACGGATCTATCCGGTCAAAATTAACGGATACAGATGTCCGAATTCAATCCGAATTATCGAATTTATCCAAATTATTCGGAGTGCACTATAATTGATGCTCCGGCCTTATACCGGTGTCCGGTTCCTAGTTAATAATAATAGCCAAAAGTGCTTTATGATTCTGGCTTGCAATATGAACTAAAGTGTATTTATTACATATAGAAAAAACTTCTTAGAGTCTAAAATGTTTGTTTAGGTACTTGAAGTTTATTTTCTTATATTAATTAACAGTATTATACACCATTAACTTTGAAAGATCAAGGACCTTGGCAATATGAGGTAGTTTAAAATTACACAAATAACCACTGACAATACAGCTTCATTGTTTTTGACTAAGCTTTTTGTAAGAAGGTTTTTTTTTTATTATAAAAAAAATAAAACAATGCTTTTTAAAAAAAAACAAAAATTTATACTATAAAATATAAAAATTTATACAAAAAAAGATTATTATATATATCTTTATATATAAAAGTTCTGATGATCTACTTTCAGCCACTGTATAAATAATAGTTGCTAATTGATATAGATCTTGAAGTATATAAATACAAAGAGTTTAAATAGATAACTCAATTAGATGGGTTGCAGGTATGATATTTAGTGTAAAATCTAATAATAGACAGACTACTTAAATAGATGCCTAAAAGATATAATATAGCTAGTTTGTATTCTTCAAATATGTATTATAATCTATTTATACAATAAAAAGCCTATTTGACAAATGGTCACCTTAATATCCTACTATTTATTTTTATTTGTTGAAAAAAGTGGTTTAGCTTATAATAAATTAGTTTAAAATAATAAACCAAATTTTATACAAGTTTACAGATCAAAATTTTTAATTATTTAAAATGGTACATATTTATATTTTTTTTTTAAAAAAAAGATTTAGCTCACTACTTTAAACAAATTTATACAAACTGACCAACTTTAAATAGTGCTTCTAGTTATAAACTAATCTTGTTGACCAAAAAGCAAACATTGCTAACAAATATAAAGCAAAAGCTAATATTATCAATGTTATTATCGTGGTAATAAATAGTTATTGAATGCGAAGCATCCAATAACGGAATTATTTGTAAAATAATTCATTAACTGGCTATAAATTTAATATGTCAGCTTCTGGGCCCCAAAGGGGCCCAGAAATAACAATATTAAATTCTCTGCCAAATAAACAAGTTATTGGCTGCGTAGCATTCAATAACGGTATTATCCGATGGCTTACGACGACTGAACCAACAGAAAACTCGAGTTATCTGATGGTACGATCATAGTAAGCTATCGGATAACTATATATTATTTGATCATTATGCATGTTTATTGGCTGTCAGTTTTGGGATTACAATAAATGGTCGATGTTAATCCAAAATTAGGTAACATCGTTATTCAATGTATATGGTTGGTGCATTATCTCTATAAATTTTTTGCACCATAAGTCTGTACAGTACGTTGTAAAAGTGTAAAATGCTCCAGAATAGGTATAGGCCGAAAGTGGATAACACGACTATACTAAACCACACTAAAACTACTTAATCCTAATAATGGTCCGAGTAACTAGGGTCAATTAGACGTCACGAGTCTTCAAATACGAAGTCACGGGTTCTGGTCGCTAATTCCTATCGTTAGTACAGATTTTACTTATCGGGGGAATTAGTTGAGCGAAACACCTTACGACATTGAACTCTAATTGAGTTGAGTTCCGAGTTCTGTTGAGTGGAGTTCCTTTTATTCGAAGTGAAATGGTTTTGCCCATATACAGTCGATACTGTCTAAATGCATACTGCATACTGTCTAAATGCATAATTTTTTAAAAAAATTTAATAGTAATATGCATTTAGACAGTTAATTTTCTGATATCTGATTGGTTAATACTGTATAAATGCATAAAATTGATTTTTTTTTTTGTCTTTCCCGACCGTATGCATTTAGACAGTATCGACTGTACTTATTTTACATAGTAATGAGATAACTGCGATAACTGAGATAATACATATATTGAAATTTTGGATTTTCGTGATTCTTGGGACTTTCAGAATAATTAGAATTTTTAGCATTAGAATTCGTACTATATCAGATATTGAGAAACGTGGGTGTGCAGTTTGTAGGCTGGATAATATGTTAATGCAGGCCAGATGATATGCTAATGCAGGCCAGACAATCTCATATTAAAAATCCCGCGCGGGAAATGTGTTACCAACCTAAAAAATTTCACTGGCCAATCATATTTCAAGATCAGGCGTGACGCAGAAGAAACGCAAAAACCAAAACAAACCAAAAAATCGCCCATAACTCAACATTTTATCTATGAAGCCATCTTCTGCGCACCAACAAAAAGATTTCCTTGCGAAATTTTGATACTACTAAAACTCTTTCTAACTTAAATTAATAGCAAAACCTAACCCTAATATAACAGCAAAATTTTTTTAGCGAAATTTTTTAGGTTGGTAACACTAGATCAGTTCGCGCGGGATCCCGCGCAGATCCCGCGCGTTGCCCATATCGATTGAATCACTAATATTTGTTTCTCACCATTTTTCCATCTGCCTTTCTTATAAATGCACATATTTTCTTCTTTTTTCTCTTATTCCTCTACTTTTCGCCTTTCTAGGTTACTATCCTAAGCAAAACCCAGCTTCATTATAAACCAACGCTTTCCAGTAACAACTGTAATTCGCTCAACCAGGCAAATGATTGGTTGTGTTCATTGGCCCGGTTGACCAAATTCCTGTTATTTGAAAATTTTTACCAATATCAAATATTGTATACTTAAATATATAGTAAATGTTCATAAATAGCTTATTTTATATTCAGGTTTAATAAATGTTTATATTCAAAATAAAATTAACAAAAATATTAATTAAAAACTTATTTTAAATATTCAGATTAATTATATTGATTGCTTAGTCTGAACAATTGCTATCTTGATACGTTATATTTTTGTTTCCTGGATTATTTATCTAGGTAGCTGTTACCGTATAGCACTGCTTATAGTATCCCCATAAAATAATACCCCCCATGATTAAGACCTGGGTATTATTAACCGTCCTATCGGTCTATTTCTTGAATAAGACCCGGGGATATAGCTATATTAATTTATTACTTTTCATATGAATATTCCCCAAATATAATACGGTTCCATACAAAGTACTCACGGGTACTAATCAATTTCAAAAGGCAAAGTTTTGAATAAGACCCCGGGTACTATAAGCAGTGCTATACGGTACTAGCTCTGAATTAAGAAATTATTATTTGTATTCAAAATAATTTTGTCAATATATACTGTATATATGCAGTTATTAGACTCGTGCTGACTCGTGATTCACGAATTAAGTTCTGCAGGTACCGTGCACGCGCACTATTAAAACATAGTCACCATTCCAGAATTATGGCACTTGCAGAACCTATTCAAAAATGTACAGATCATTTGTTCGAGTTGATTTGTCCGAGTTATTTGAGTCTCAAATTTATCGCGGTTTTCGAAATGATTGAAAATGGCAAATAAAAAAATTTTGTTTGGTGAATACTGTGAATACTGCGAATAATGCGAATACTTGAATACTCGATTACCTTGGCACATTGATTAAAGATCGATGCCCGATTTTACGTACGTACATACGATGTAATTGTTGACTAAACAATTACATCGTATGTGCGTAAAATCGGGCATCGAACTTTAATCAATGTGCCAAGGTAATCGAGTATTCAAATATTCACATTATTCGCAGTATTCACCAAAAAAAAATTTATTTGCCATTTTCAACCATTTCGAAAGCGCGATATATTCATATTCCGATCGGCAAAGGCAAGCTTATTTTCAAACCTTTTTTTTTTTAAGGTGGGGGCGAATATTTTTAAACTTTATTAGTATACATAACAATTTCGTAATATTTTGATCCGAATCATGGTTATTCTATTCACGAGTTGACGAATCCAATTACTATATTTATGATATCAAAATATTGATATCTATCTAATTACAATTTATATTAAATCACGTGTTGTATCTGTCGAAGTAAATATTTTTAAACTCATGTGAATGATCTTGTTTTGTAAATATATGCTCAATCAGAGGCCCAAAGAAAAATTTGTAAGGTGGCTTTCGTGAAATTGTAACAGAATTAATACGGCCCATTCTGGAACAGACAAGCCCGAAACGGTAGTACAGACTATAACGTTGAATATACTTGACCTTTTTTTTAAGATGACATTTCCATTAACAAAACTTAACACTCAGAGAACTTTTGCTATTAACACCGTTTTCGTATAATGAATGCTATTAACCTATCGAACGTAAATAAAGTATATCGAGAGAACGGAAAAAATAGCAAAAAGCACAAGATGCCACAAAAAAAAAAAAAAACTTACAAACAAGATCAAAAGAAGATCGATCTTAATTAACAGTATATCAATCAGTGTGTTTTTTAAATGTGATTAAAATTGGGTAAAAGTATTATCGATCATTCAGAACGAAGCTTACAGGACTAGCTTGCAGCCACTGCAGATTAATCAGGTGTAGATAGAATCTTAATAATGTAAGGGGCATCCCTGATGGTATTGTTTGATGAGGCTGATTGATGATTTTTAAGTCTATGCTATCCTTATATATAATATAATCGATCAAATCAATCCGTGACTGGCTATTATTACCTTAAAATAACAATAGCACATAGCCACAAAAACAGGAAAAAACAAGCAATTACTCTAATGTTATTTGAGTGTAATTTGCCATAAAATTATCTTTTTCTTCGATCCGTCAATAATTTGAGAACGAAAATGATATCATTAGAAAATGCTCTTTTACGTGATATTAAAAATTTATCTAACGAATCCGAAGGCTATGACGTGGTGCTACAGGTTGGCCAACATCCTGAAATCGATAGCTTTAGAGCGCACTTTTTAATACTGCATGCCAGATCATCTTATTTTCGATCGATCTCGTCATCCAAAAAATGGGGTGAGGAAAGTAATGAATGTGTATTGTTGTTGCCAAGTATCTCACCTTGTGTGTTCAAAGTTATTTTAGGGTTTGCATTTTTTCCTCCCTATCGTAGATGTTTTCATATGTGTTGTTGTAAATATTTACTTTAAAGGCTTAAATTCTTTATAAATCAGCTATATCTATAGCGGTTCCATTAATATGAGTGACACAACGATCAAATCTATCTACCTTGATCTTTTAACTGCCGCAGATGAATTAGAACTCTCAGAATTAACCGAAAATATGCAAGAGTATCTTATTTCTCATGAAATTGATTGGATCCGCAACAATTTCTTTAATATCCTTCAAACAACCGCTAAATCCAAAGCTTTTACAAGGCTTGAAAATTTTTGTCAAGAAATTTTCCGTACGAATCAGGCCTCGATTTTGACTTCAGATGGTTTTCTTGAATTGGAAGCAGACTTCTTAGTCTCCTTATTCAAGAGAGACGACATAGTTCTCGATGAGATTTTAATCTGGGAATCTGTTATTCGTTGGGGAATGGCACAAATTAAATTGAATACGGATGTATCACAGTGGACCAATCGAGATTTTATCAGATTAAAAAAAACTGTTAAAAACCTAATTCCACATATTAGATTTTTCAATATTTCTGGAATAGATCATAGAACAAGGGTTCGCCCATACAAAAAAATTCTTCCAAAAGCATTAAAAGAAGAAATTAAAGATTATTTTTTTGCCCAAGTTCCTCCAAAGAAATTCTGTAAACTCCCACCACGTGCCATTAAAAACGAATCCAATGGATCAATTGCTAATAATTCTGATCATGAGACCTTTACCTCCATTGATTCTATTCTTATGGATACAAATGGGTTCTGTCAGGTTGCGGCATGGATTGATGATAAGTCAGAACCATATTTACCAGCCGATATCCCTTATGATTTTAATTTATTGTTCCGTGGAAGTAGGGATGGCATGACTAATGCTCGAAAATTTCATGAAATTTGTGGATATCAAGGCGCTACTCTTATAATTATTAAAATTGTAGAGTCAAATAAAATTCTTGGAGGTTACAATCCAGACGATTGGATTTGCAGCAATGGCTGGACCACAAGACTTGATAGTTTTATATTCTCCATGGAAAGAGACGGCGGAACTATAAAAAATATAATTTCACGTATAAATGACCCTAAACATGCAATTTGGAATTCTGCAGGAAATCCTTCATTCGGGTCCGACTTACAATGGTTTGTTGGACTTTGTGTACCTAAGTCATATAAAACACCAATTTATGAATCAACTCTATTTTCACTAATTAATTTTGAGGTTTTTAAAATTGAAAAAAATATTTATAAAAATGATAACGTAAAAAAAGCAAAGATTGTTTATGATTCAGATGATACTGTTGAAAGTGATTCAGACTATTTAGACGTTGATAAACTATAATAATATGTTGTGTATTTAACGTTCATCTCTAGCAATTTTAAATTGATAATTTTTTACTAATTTTATGTAGATACTTTTTAATGGTTGATGTGATTTAAGTAAACGTGTTTAAATGTTAACGAAATTTAACAGAAGCTCTCAGTTATCTGGGTTATGGATGGGTTTAACTACGAACGGCTACGATTGTTCATAGCCAATTTGCTAAATACTGAGATGATTTTTTGTTCTTGAGCTTTTAGTTGAAGTTGTTCAGAATTAAATTCTGTTCATCCCATCTTATAAGTGGAAAGAACGATACCTTCTCTGGAATTCGGAATTTTAATATTTGTTAACGTCATAGCCGGCTATTAGTCGCCGGCTAATAGCGGCTATGACGTTAACCAATCTTAAATTTCCGAGTTCCAGAGAAGGTATCGTTCGTTCCACTTATAAGATGGGATGAACAGAATTTAATTCTGAACAACTTCAATTAAAAGCTCAAGAGCAAAAAATCATCTCAGTATTTAGCTATGAATATTCGTAGCCGTTCGTAGTCTAACTCATCCCTAATCTGGGTCCATTTATCATCTCATTTTTTATGAAACGTTGAACCTAGTTAATTGCCTTCCTGTGCAACATTCGCACTGATCTTAAAATCGTTTGCAGAGCAAAAACCTGTAGCTGACCATAGTAAATCATTATGATCAGTTACAGGTTTTCTTACCGCACATGAATACTGAGCTTAAGCCTCGGAGGTTAGAGAAAATCCATTAAATTTAATATTCCGTAACTTTTTTGAATAACATCTACAGTACAGAATAGCTAAAGATATCCAATTTTAATTGATATTTTAAAAATCTTACAACTTATTAACAGTCAACCGATTTGTCACGTCTAAATTTTTACATATAGTAAAAAGATATAGAATTACTTATAAACTTTAGTCTGATGATGTTTCCTCACCTACATTTAATTTAAAATTAAATTTTACAAATAAATATATAAAGAAAAAGAAAAAAAATTTAGTTTAAAAATCAAATTAAAATTTTGTAAGATTGCATAATTTAAAATATAACTTTGCCAAAAATAAATTAAAAATATATTTTTTTA